ATGTTTCCAACCTGCCAGTAACATGAAGAGATGTCCATATTTTGGTCTCAGGTTAATGGCGGCACTCAGGAAGTGGAATCCTGAGGCATATTGCTGCATGGTGAGATGTACCAGACCCAAGTTGTACAGGATCTTCCAGTCAAATGGTGCCAGGTAGTTGGCTCTCTTCAAACAGCTGATGGCCTGGGAAAGGTAATAATAATAATAATAATAAGATTCTTATATGGCGCCTTACATTCTATCTCAAGGCACCTTACAATAATGGCTAATTTACTAAAATCATTAAAATGACTACAATATTTTAATGTCATTGTATATTATACTGTATAATTGCATTGCACTGCATTACATTGTATTGTATTTCATTACATTATATCAAAATATATCAAATATATAATTCAGTCTTTGCAAAATAAACAATTAGCAAAATCAATAAATGAATCAATGAAACAAAATTGCTTATTAACTCAAAAGTCCATCAGCTTAGGATCAGGCATCTTTTTCTTTCATATTTTATCCAATCATCTATTATTCATTCATTTGATTGTTTGTTTGTTTGTTATGTAGGCAAACAAGATTCTATGAGGTTCTTTTTTAAAATGACACTAAATGTACTCACTGCTACAAACTTTTTCTTTCCAAAGAAGCACATCCCAATGTTATTCCACAGAGGTGCACTCTCAGGCGTCTCTTGTGCTGCAATTCGATACTTGGTCAACCCCACATCGAAATCGCCATGATTCTGCATCATGCTGCCTGCAGCAAGGATGGCCTTGGTGTGGGTGGGGTTGTAAGTCAACGCATTTCCAAGGTGTTCAAAAGCTTTCTGGAACTGACCAACCTAGAAGATGGAGAAAGAACAGTATAACAGGCACCTAGTAACAGAGAATTTTTTTAAAGTGCTACTGTTACAGCAATACCAGCTCTACAAATGTATCATCTGCTTTTGGTGTTTTTTTTAATGTGTTTATAAAGTTCAATACAAACCAAGAAAAAACCACACTGTACCAAATACACTTCTGTGGCATACTGGTGTCTAACTTACCTGCATGTACAGCAGGCCCATAGTGCTCAAAATATCTGGGTTTTCTGGAGAAAACCTGAAATCAAAAACTGCATTTAAAAAGGAACTCTCATAAGATAAATTCACAGCAGATACACTTAAACCACATACAAGTTAAAATACTGAATGTCTCAACAAAGAAACTTGCAGTTATTTTATCATCAAAGCAGGAACCATGTGTCAATCATTTTCACTACATGTTTGGAAACTCTCAGTTGCTTCTTTTTTAAAAGATATTTAACCTGTCAATCAATCAATCAATTATTCAATCAATAACCCTACTGCAAAAAAAAAAGAAGCAGAAAAGAAGAAATCAATAGAGTTGTCAACACACCTAACACATCAATACATCATTCACAATATAACTTACCCCACAATAAAAATATAATGATAATTTAAAATCAATAAATTAACTCTTACTCCACAGCTCTCTTGTAGACCTCTATAGCCTGGTTAATATCTCCTTCCATCAAGTAAATCTTGGCCAGCATGATATAGGACAGGTCATGACGGGCAAAGGCAATAGCCTGCTTCAAACACTCCTTGGCTTTCTCATACTCCTTCAGGTACAGGTAGCATATGCCCTGGTTGTGGACCACCTCCTGGGGAGTAGCAGGGGGGTGAATTTGTCAGGAAATTATTGTGTAATTTCAATGTTTTAAGTCAAATATAGTTGGACATGTGCATATATGCAATGATTAATATTTATTTAGTTTCTTCTTATTTGCAAAAGCAAATTGCTTGCCTCAGACCAATTATAGTTGACAATGTTTTATCTTAGTGGCCTACTAAGGCTGACAAAAGAGATATGATGTTAACCTATACCATACATCCCTCTCAATTTTTCTTAATATTCCCTGCTGCCAAATATTGATATTTTTACGTCTTCTGTATGAATCACCTACCCAGTCTCTCTCACTTATCTTTGCGGCCTCATTGTACACATCTATTGCAGCCTTATGTCTGGCCAATAGGAACCTGAAACACATCAAATAATTTATGTCTGGCCAATAGGAACCTGAAATACATCAAATAATTTATGTCTGGCCAATAAGAACCTGAAACACATCAAATAATTTATGTCTGGCCAATAGGAACCTGAAATACATCAAATAATTTATGTCTGGCCAATAGGAACCTGAAACACATCAAATAATTTATGTCTGGCCAATAGGAACCTGAAACACATCAAATAATTTATGTCTGGCCAATAAGAACCTGAAATACACCAAAATATCAGATAACCTTATAAATATGGCGTTATGTAATCTGCAAGTTATATTGTGGCAATTTATTCGAAAAACTGATTTTTAAATATTAAAATAATTATTAAAATAATTCAAAGTGGTGATTTTATATTTATGCAAAGGCTATGAAAAAACACACAATTTTTAAACACAAATAAGTTACATCTATGAATATGTAAAAAATATTCCACAAATATGTTTTTGAGTCAATCCTGTTATGGAAAAAATACCTAATCCCATTTTTGGCAATAGATAAAGCCCAAGATTGCATTTTATTCCTTCAACAAATAAACCATATCACCCTTACAAAGATCTTGCCACTTGTTTGAGGTTATCAGCATTGTTAGGGTTGAGAAGTGAGCAGGTCTGGAAGAGCTCCAAGGACTCCTGGATCCGCCCCTCCTGTCTCAGAATCAAAGCTGAAAACAATGTTCAAAAACATATTTCGACATCAATCATAACAATTTATCAAAATTTTTAATATTATTCTTTTATCAAAAATAATAATAATACTTTTAACTAAAGCAAGACAAAAATTGGACAACTTAATGAATTAATCAATAAGTACTACAAAGGAGAATTCACCACCAGTTGATCCTGGACTAACTAGTCCGTGGATCAAATATGGCATGCACTTGAAAGCATAACCCCCTTACATTAATGAAATGACTGTACCTTGAACATAGACAGCATATTCACACATCCCCCCAGTCTCAGTGAGCTGTTCTTTGATCAGAGACTTGCACACATCGTACTCCTTCTTCACATAGTGCAGGTGGATCAACCAGTTCTTACGCTCAAATATGGGGATCTCTGGTGCTTTATAACCAAAAATAAGTAATTAAATCAATTTATCTATTAATTGATAGATAAATTAATGCATCAAAGAAACTTTCAGTACCTATTTTTCAGTATTCTTTTTCCTTAGGATATAGAATTACAGCATCAGTTTTACGTAGGCTGAAATAGTTTGTGTGATCAACATCAGTCGCTTACACTTACAGCAGTCTGGGTTATATCAGACACATACTGTTATAGGTGAAACATGTCATGTACAATTCAAATGGCATTTACTTCTAAATGTGCTGAATATTCATGTTGTGAAACACGTACGTTTCTTTGGCTTTGGAGCAGGTTTTGCCTTAACTTTAGGAATCTGTGGAATCTGTGGTATGTCACTTAAGGCTCTTTTTTCTTCCTCATCATTCTGAAAGACAAACAACATTCTTAGTTTCATATATTAAACATTTGAAAATGCAAGTGTACTTAATGTCTAGACAAGTGTTAACTGCCATGTGGAATGGACCCAAATGATACTGAATTTTATAATAAAATTGTCTACTTCATGAATGCAAATTACATGTATCTGATTAGCACGAAAATTCATGCGTTAGCACTTCTATTGACGATTCTGATATGCACTGTAGCACAGACGGTACATATCAGAATCGTCAATAGGAGTGCTAACGCATGAATTTTCGTGCTAGTATCTGATATCCGTAGGCACAACCAAAATTCTAAACTCCTCTCACCAAAGGCCTAATAGAGTCAAAACAGAACTTTCTTAGTTGATTTCAGGCATTATTGTCAACCTTTGGTATCATAAATCTATTCACCTGTAGAGTGTTATCCTCTAGTGAAACTAACGACTTCGATTTCTGTGTTTCTTCTTCTCCGAGATCATTCATAGTTGACATTGGTACCGGAAGTCACAGAACTATGCTACAGACCCGCACTAAATTATTTAAACTGTTCAAAATTTGATCTCAAGTTTGAGTGAGATTTAAAATTCACTCTATTTTAAGTCACTCCATTTTAACGAAAATAATTCAATCATTCTGAAATAACTTGGCAAATATGTATCTATTAAAGTTATTTCTTCACTCTGCGAACTCAGGCGAACTTCCGGCAAACTTTTCCAATACACAGCCTCGTTTTTGTTATAATTTTTACAAACTGACTTTAACTAAAATCGAGGTGTGCGGAGTAATAATTTTCTAATAAGAAACTTGTTGAAAATTACATCGCCTTTGAATAAACGTTAATTATAGATATGTTATCGTTTTTATCTGTAACTTAATTTCATTAATTGAGATCTTACGGATGATCTGAGTCATACACTATTATTTGTATTCACCTCATTTGTTTAGCGAGATGTCGTGATGTGCCTCGAAATAGAAACTGGGAATTTTTGTTTTGGTTTTCCGTGACTTTCAAAATTTAGGCTTAGTTTTGCGTGAGTAATTGGAAATTATGATGACAAGAAGTAGATCATGTAATTCCACCAGATAATTATTTCTTAATTTGGAAATTATTTCGACCAGAGTGTGATATAAATTCAGCGTCCAGACAGACAGCCGAAAAATGGAGGTGAAGGACGAAATGATAGTAAACATGGACGTTGTCCCCACACTGAATTCCGTAAAGGATTGGATAGAACACAAGTTTGACGTTCGTTTAAAGTTAGGTCTCATAGCCAATGACCCAGATGGCAGTAGGAAGCAGTGGATTGAATTTATTGGATCTTTGGGTATTAATCAGTACGATGTGAAACTTGCAAAGGTACATTTTCATATTAAATTTGCTTTTTAATTAAATGTTGCCCAGTAAAATGTGTTTCGTCGGCTTTCCTTCTTTGCCTTGATTGTGAAATTTATTTAAAATATCAGCATGTACTAGTACTTAAATCCTAGAAATAACATTTTAGAACACTGACTCACAGCTAGCATTCAAATTGATCTTAAAAGAATTCAACGGTTTATTTTTAAAATCACTAAATGCTAGTTTCCATACTGTTGAAAAACATTAAAAAGTTGTTTATCATTAACTTTTCTAAAACATAAAATTATGATTAAATATTTTATTGCAGTATCATTTTGGTATCGAGCCAACTGATGTTGAACAGTCTTGATAAGCCGGCATTTATCTGAATTCCAGCTTCATTAATCATTAACTTTTTCAGTTAAAATTTTAGATAAATGTTTTATTTTTCACGTTTATACCAGTTAACAGTCAGTCATTTGATTTTTTCAGGAATATAGCAAATCTCTTTGTAACCCTGAAGGTTCAGTAATGATGCCATACCCTGCTGTTCTACATACAGTTTTAACATGTCCACCAGTTCATGACAAATTGGAACGGAAATTTGAAATTGCTGCCATTTTTACGCATCATAATGTGGCCAATATCATGGGCTCAGAACTTGGAGTTGTCATGGCGTCTTCTGCCCTTGATGACTTGTCAGCAAAGTATAGGTCAAGTAAAGGTCAGCAACAATCTTGTAAGGAATCGCTAAGGTTAAATAGGCAGTTTGCAAACAAGTTAGACAGTTATAGTAATGTACAGGAGGCAATTCGTGACTTTAGTTCCCTTCCTTTGGGATGCCAGAAGATTATAATCGAGTGGTTGGAATTTGACGATGGCCGAGGAGACTTGAGAAGGAGCCCTTACATAGGACTCCAGTACAATGTGACATCACAGAACAACGGACCCAGACCAAGAACACAAGGCCAAGATTGCCCAGATTCGGCAGTGAATGATGTCTTGGAAATGGACAGTGTCGATGGTACTATGGTGTTTCCGCAGCACAGAGCGCCTCCTATTGGTGGAAGAGGTGGTGATGTGCCAGATGGTGTGGCCGTGTTTGATGCAGCTCAGACAAACACATATAGTAATGGAAGTTTTACTCATTCCCATGATCCAGATCAGACACCTGTTATGAGCATGTCACGACTGCAAAGAACAATGGATTATACAGCTAGAAACTTGACAAATTTTCCAAACACACATTCGCAAACAGGGGTTAGTGCTCAATCGTCTGGGGGAGAGACAGCAGATTCTGCAGAGAAAGCTCCGATGATGTGCTCAGATCAGAACATTCCCATTCCACAGCACTATTATGCTTTGCTTACAAATCTCAGTTACACTGAACAGGAGATGCGTGAAGTCATTCACGAGAAGGGGACTCATCTGCGAGTTGCAGAGCTTATCAAAGCTCTTTCTGATTTGAGGAAAGCAAAAGCCGGTGGTCAAACGAGTACAGGAAATGATGTACATGTTACTAGTTCTGAAACTGTGTTTAATACAGGGTTCACATCAACTGAGCCTGCAGCAATGACAACCTCACCCCACACTTACACTGGCTTCACATCTAGAATTGAGAGCAACTTTTACAAGGGTGCAAATACTGATATTGCCATGGCTGCGAGCTCCTATGCTGGTCATGGAAAAATTCTTTCTGGTGCCGCTTCCAATACAGGCAGTAATTTTGCCATGGACATAAATGCAACAGGATCTCGTCCAACAGACAGCAGTGCCATAACATCAGTTGCA